TGCCGAAGTCCTGTAACAGTACAGCTCCGATGGCGATGTCACTTGCGTCGGTAACCACTTCGAAAGGGCGGTGGGGATCAGCGATGCGTAGGACGGGTGGTGAGCAGAGAACGTTTTTAAGGGCAGAGAAGGCAGCATGCTCTTTCTCCCCCCACGTAAAAGCGACCCCCTTACGCAGTAAATCAGTTAGTGGGGCGGTTAAACGTGCCATGTCGGGCACAAACCGTCGAACGTAATTAACAAACCCTAAAAAACTCTGCAGTTCCGTGATGTTCGTCGGGGGGCGCCACGCTTTTACCGTGTCCAGCTTCTTTGGGTCAATCTCAACCCCAGCCTCTGAAATGACGTGACCTAAAAACTCTAGCCTATCCCTAAAAAACTCGCACTTGGAGCCCTTGGTGAGCAGCCGATGTTCCTCCAAAACCTTAAAAACTGCTTCAAGATCTGCTAAGTGTTGCTGCTTATCCCGACTGTAAACGAGGATATCGTCTAGGTAAACGATGACGCATTTATCTAAAAGTGGCCTAAATGCCTCGTTCATGGTCATCTGAAAAGTCGCAGGCGCGTTCGTCAACCCGAAGGGCATTACTGTATACTCGAATGACCCGTACCGAGTCCTAAATGCTGTTTTTGCGCAGTCCGATGGTTCGACGCGAATCTGATGGTAACCTCCTCGTAAATCTATTTTCGAAAAGACACGTGCTGTTCGCAGTTGGTCAATCAGTTCGTCGGCGCGGGGGATGGGGTATCGCGATTTGACTGTTACTCGGTTAAGCGCTCGGTAGTCGATGCACATGCGAAAACCTCCGTCTTTTTTCGGTGTGAACAGTATGGGTGCGGCGAACGGTGACGAGCTCGGTCGAATAAACTGCTTCTCTAACAGGTAATCTAACTGCTTCCTTAACTCGTCGAGCTCGGGCTGTGTCAGTCGAAATTGCCGCTGTACTGTTGGCTGTGCCCCCGGTTCTAGCTCGATCCTATGGTCGTGCGCTCGCTGAGGTGGCAGTCCCTGTGGTAAATCATCCGGAAATATCCCCGGGAACCGTTTCAGTAGTGCTTGTAATTCGGTCGGTACGGCTGCTAGCAGTTTCTGTAAATCGTTCTGCTGCTCGTCTTTTTCTACCACTGCGATATCCACTGCGTACACGTCAGCTCCAGCAGCGACAGCCCGTTTCATCGCGATGGCGTTGACCTGGACTGTCGAAGATTCGGGTGGCCGCCAGCGAGGTAGGACGACCCAGTTACCGCTACTTCGCACTGTGCAGCTCCCCGTCGTCCAGTCGATCCGTGGGTTGTACCGTCGCAGCCAATCACGTCCCAGTAAAATGTCGTGCCCATCCAGCGTCGTTGCGAGCATTTCCTGTGTAAACCCGAAGTTTCCCCCGCAGCGGACTTTTACTCGCTCCACCTTTTCTCGTATGGCCAATGGCGTGCCGTCGACTAAGCGTGCATCTATCTTAGGTAAACATCGGTTAAGTGTTAACTGTAATTTCCGTGCGGTTGCAGTATTAACTAAGCTGTGACTTGCTCCTCCGTCAATGAAGATTTTCACTGCTGCTCCCTGTATTTTCCCGTAGATCAGTACCGGGCAATCCGTCGCTGTACCCTCCTTATTCATCCGAGCCCGATCGATGGCGTGAATCGGTACTGTGACTCGGTGAGGGTCGGTGTGGTTGGGCGAGCAGGCAGTCTCGTCAGTAGTTGGCCCAACTTCTACTGACTGCTGGCGTTTCCCTGCCTCTGAGACTCCTTCCCCTGCTCTGCTCCTCGACGCCTCAGCTCCTCTGGACATTCGCTCTTGCGATGGCCCGGCCGGTTGCAAGCAAAGCAGCGCCCTCTAAATGGCGTGGCAGCTGCATTCGTTGCGACGGCATGTACAGTGGCGTGCTCGATCGGTCCCCGAGGGCGATGTCCGAAATAGGACCCCGGTCTCGGTCGGCGTAGGATATCGATTTTCTCGGCGAGCGCGAGGATTTCGTTGAAATTCGATAGCCCGCGTAGCATTATCTCGTGCGATATGTCCGGCTTCAGCCCTCCGACGTAACGGTCCACCCGCTCCGCCTCGTGCATGTAGCCGACCTGTTCGCAAAGTGCGAGAAAACCGCTGGTGTAGTCTTGAACCGACCCGAGCTGGCGCCAAGTGCGCAGTTTCTGACGCGCCGAAATCGAAGCCGCGATCGGCTCAAAACGCGCCCGAAGCCCTGCGCACCACGCATCCCACGTGCTGTATTGGGCTGTTTCGCAGAACGAACTCCAGGTGACAGCTGGACCCGAGGGCCCTTCCTCGTGCGACGGTGGCTCGTAGGCGCGTGGCGACGTCACGATGACTCGCCACCAGTCCATGGCGGGGCCCCTGAGTAGTGAAACCGCATACCGAATCTTGGCGGCGTCCGACTCGACGTAGTTGGCGTCGAAAAACACATTCATCGCGAAGACCCACGATTGAACTGTCGGGCCGCCGCGTTGGCTTGGGTCGAAGCAGGGCGGGCGTTGCGGCTTGAGTGGCATTGGGGCCATCATGGCGTTTTCACCACTTGTCGTCGCAAACTCCACGTGCCGACGGGCTTCTCGGGGCTCCCGTGGGCTTAGCGTGCTCCTGTTCCCTCCCATGCCGGGCATCGGTTGGGCTGCGCCGTCACTGGCTGCGCCTGAGCGCTGTCCCGTGCTGTTGTGTTGCGTTGGTGCGCCGGATGAAATGATAATCGGCTCCTCCGAATGTACAGAGACATTGGTTGGTGCGTGGGATGTTGTCGGAGCATTCTCCGTTGACTGTTGACGGGCGGAGTCACGTTCCGCCGTGAGCGTCGCGATTTCAAGCGCCGAGTCCTCCAATTGTCGCACGAGATGATCGAGTTGCTCCTGCGTCAACGTGGCGAGATTGAGGTCGGCCATGGCGAGGGTGTCGGGCAAGCTCAGCGAGAGCCTCGGTCGTGGCCGTGCGTGCTTGCGAGAGAGCACTTCGAGCGGCGGTGCTGTGTCGCTGAGAGACGTCTACCCCCCCAAAAATTGAGATAGTGGGAAGCGAAGGTGTGGATGCGGTCCGAGATGAGATCGTAGGCTCTGATACCAAGTGTTACGTGTGCAATTGAGTGAACGAACGAGAATTGCACTATCGAAGCAAAAGTACAATGAGCGAAGGCATGAGCGAAGGATTATATAGCGAAACAATAGTGATAACGGTAATGGACTGTGGTTGTCGCGCGTCGAGCCTGAGACTGAGGTTGGGAAAGTGTCGAAGCGTAGGCCCGGAGCGCGGGTTACCAGCCGAGCCGTGAGGTCGGGATGCGATGTGCGAAAAGGGCGGGATGATGAATGATGCGATGGTCGCGAGTGGTAACGGTGCTGACTGAGGTGCTACAGTGACGTACGCGCTGGGCAGGGACGCGAAGTAAGGAAAAGGGAATTTCCTTACACATTTCAAGGATCTCCACCTTTGATACTCGGCTTGGTTGTTGGTCGGCGCACGCAGTCAACGCTATCAGCCAACACACGGCCATTTCAAGGCAATCCATAACCATCTTGTTAACACCGTCGGCCGGCGAGCGTCTTATTAATAATCGTTAAAGGTCGCTTCCTTTAGCAGGGCCTGGAAGGCGGAATAGTGGACCCCCTTGAAAGGCAGTTCTTCCGCAATCGCTCTTTACTTTGCGCAAGTCCTGTCCCACCACCCGCCAATTTAAACCTGCAGCCGCACAGCCCTCGTATGCCCTTTTCTAGTACCACCCGCTCCTTTAGAAATTGGAACAACCCCGTGCGATCGAGTCTCCACATCGGAAAAAGCAGGAACCACCAAATCAGACTCATGTGCCGGCAATCCAGGGAGAGCGCATCGCCTCTCTCAATCAGCCGCCCTTCTGCTTGGCCGGCGCCTTTCCGCGAGCAGGAAAGCATCAGCCACTAGCTTCTTTTGTCAGCGATCGTTACCGGTACCGGTACCGATATCGGTACATTCAATCAACATCGTCTAAAGCCCGTCCGGACATCCGAGAGCATTCGAGAGCGTCCGCGACTTCGTCAAGCCCTCGCCTTGGCTTCAGCCAGGGACAATATAGAACACTCAGGCACGCCTGGGACGCATCGAGTGCCCTGCGCATGTGGTATGGCATGCGCGTGTGACGCCCATGGCATGATGGCGGCAGCATGCCGGCAAGTGGTTTTCTGATCCACGGCGTCAGGCGTCGATGCGGCTAGTAGGAACTGGAGAGTCTGCAGTCTGGTAGTTGGTAGCTGCGGGGGAGGGGGACGAGGAGGAAAGGCCGGTGGGAGCAGGAGCAAGAAATGAGAACCCCGTGCGCGTCACGTTGAAGCATTGTGCTAGAGCAAGCGATTTCGACGACTGGAAGGTTCTACTAGCTCTCTAATCCCTCTCTTTTTCTCCTTCTCGTCCGAGGGGTATTTATCGTTACGGTTCCGGAATTCCCTCTCGCGTCGGTTTAGGCGGAAAGCGCGGGGGCGTGGAAGGCAAGCGGGCAGGCGGAGCGAGGAGGCACTTCGCGGGGGGGGGACGGGCAACGATGGTATGGGAGAAGGGCAAGGGGAGGGGGAAGGGGAAGGGGATCCGCGGCAGGGAGTCGGCGCAAGGCGGCGGCGGCGGGGACGAGGAGGAGGAGGAGGAGATGGAGGACCTCGTTTTTCTCGTGGGCGTGGCGCGCAACAACACTCTCGTGGCGCGCTACACGACGGACGTCAAATTCGTCGCCGTGGCTCAGCACGTGCTGGACGCCGCGCCGCCGTTCCTCTCCAAGGTGTCTCTCGCGCACGACACGCTCATGGCTCTGCTGCTCGTGGACAAGACCGGCAGCTGCGCCAGCGCCAGCGGCAGTAGTGGCAGCGGCCACAGTAGCAGCAGCAACAGCGGCGGCAGTGGTGCCAGCGGCAGCGCTGGCAGTGGTGGGAATGGCGGTGGCGGCAGCAGCAGCAGCAGCAGCAGCAGCAGCAGCAGCAGCAGCGGCAGCAAGAAGAGTGGTGGTGGCAGCAGCAGCGCTGGCAGCGTGTGGAGTATGGTGGGCCCAACTAGCCCTCGCCCATTCACTGGTGGTGCTGCTGGTTGGGGTGGGGGTTTTGTTCCTCCTTCCACTTCCGCTTCCTCTATCCCTCCCCACCCTTCCCCGAAACACGCCATCCACCCCCCCCCTACCACATCGGACAGCTCCAGCGTCACCACAACGGGCGTGCTTATAGCGAGGATGTGCGGGGGTGAGTTTGAGCGCGCAGACGGGTACAACCTCCTGAGAAAGGTGCTCAAGGCGTTTAAAGAGGCTAGCACGGCGCACCGCCGCTCTGCCAGCAGCGTCTTCATCCGCTCCCTCTCTGCGGGCGCCGGCCTGCTCACCGGGTCTCGGGGGAAGGAAGGCGGAGGGACTGGCGGAGGAGGCGGAAGCGGAAGCGGAGGAGGAGGAGGGGGAGCGGGGGGTGGCGGTATTAATGGTTCTGGCATGGCCAATTCTGCTTCGGGTGGCGGGGCCGGTGCGTTCCCGACCAGCGTGTCTGTCTCTCGCGCGGTTACTGCAGGAGCAGGAGCAGGGGGGGGGGCGCCGGGGAGGGAGGGTGGGCCTGCTGACGTGCGTTCGCTGGCAGCGGCGGCAGCGATAGCAACGGAGCTAGGGATCAACGTGCCACGGCTGGAGAACAAAATGAGAGCCATGGTGATCCAGTACCGAGCGCCCGTGCAAGACCCTGAGCTCATCTTTCCCTACCGGGACGCTCCTGGCGCGTACCTCGTCCAGCCGCCCGAGCCTGAGCCCAAGGCTGAGGCGGAGGCTCGGGTGAGGAAGGAGCGGGCGAAACGGCTGCTGGAAGACGAGCTGAACCTTATAACGGAGCAGATGATGGATGATGCGAGGCTGGAGGGTGGCGGTGAAGGGGGGGGGGGACGGGGGGAAAGCGGTGGTGGTGGCTGTACCGGTTCGGCCGAGGTTCTCCCGAAGCCATGGGTTTAGGAGCCAGTCGGAAGGGAATTTGGTGTGGGGGTCGAAGGAGGAGCAATACCTTTTGGAAGAGGTGGAGGAGGGGAAAGAGGAGGGGAAGGAGGAGGGTAACACGGAGTGGAGAAGGACGGAGAGCAGCAGCGGGGTTGCAGGGGATACTGGGACACCTGCAAATACATCTCAAGTAGGCGCGCTGCCAGGTATTGCTGTTAGTTTCTTTGCTGGCTCGTTTTCTGCAAGATGGTTGGCTGGTTCGTTGGTTGGTTGGTTTGTTGACTGGTTGGTTTGGCTGGTTGTTTTCTCGTCATGAGCGGGCGCCGGCAGCATTAGCATTGACATGGGTATAAAATTATTCGTATTGCCACTTAGTTCCTCCTGCTGCCAATGCTGTTTCAGCATCTGTCGTTGTCTCCCCCACTGCTGGCCCTTGCTGCCGCCCATGCTGCCGCCATTGCCACTGCTGCTCCTGCTCCTGCTCCTGCTGCTGCCCCTGTTCCTGCTCCTGCTCCTGCCCCTGCCCCTGCTCCTGTTCCTGCTCCTGCTCCCGTTACCACTCCCGCTCCCGCTGCCGCTCCCGCCCCTGCCCCTGTTCCTGCTCCTGCCTCTGTTCCTGCTCCTGCCCCTGCTCCTGCTCCTCCGTCTGCTCCTGCTCCTGCTCCTGCTCCTGCTCCTGCTCCTGCCTCTGTTCCTGCTCCTGCCCCTGCTCCTGCCCCTGCTCCTGCCCCTGCTCCTGCTCCTCTGTCTGCTCCTGCTCCTGCTCCTGCTCCTGCTCCTGCCACGCTGACTGCCACCCCCCACTCTGACACTCCTGACATGACACCACCACGTGTGCACGGCAGGTTGTGCTCTCATGCCCTCCTTCCACTCACGACCCCACAGCTCAAAAACCTTCTTATGGTGATCGATGGGGGTTTTAGCAACTAAATGCACAGCCGGTATAACGCTGCTTACCGAAGCGCCTTCTCCCTACGGGGGGTTGGTTTCCTCCGGGGATCTCCTTAAAGCCCAAAAAAAAAAATAAAAAAATCTGTCTCTATTCCCCTTCCCCCTCCTCCCACTTGTGCTCGTGTCTATCTTATCCTTATGTCCTTGTTTACTCACTCCGTTTCCTCTCTATTCTTCTTCCTCCCCCTCCCCTCCCCCCCCTCCTCCCTCTCTCCCTCCCTCCCTCCCTCCCTCCCTCCCTCCCTCCCATCCCCTCGTCGTCCGCCGATCTTTCCTTACGTTCGTTCCTCCATTATCCACCGCTCCCCTCATTTCACACTGCCCTTTCCGGTCCTTGCTCCCTCCCCGTCTCCTCCCCTGCCGCTCCCTCCCGTCTCCCTCTCTCCCTGCCTCCTTCCCTCCCATCCCTCTCTCCATCGCTTTTCACCTCCCCACCCTCTCTGCCTCTCTCCCCCTCTCCCTCTCGCTCCTCCGCCTCCGTTCTCTCTTCCTTTCATCACCTGCTACTGCATTGCATGCGCGCCTGTTCCCTTGCAGCAGCGGCAACGGGAGCGGGTGTAGGCCCTCCCTGCCCTGGCATGCCCCCAAGGAGTCCGCTGAAGATTGCTGCTGGTGGGGGCCGGCGGGAGATCATTCTGATCAAGGAGCCAAAGAAGAGTAGGAGGCAGAGGGCTGCGTCTGTGGGTGGCGGTGCTGGGAGTGGGGCGGTTGGGGCAGTCTGTATTACACAGGAGCAAGCCGTGGTTGGTGGCGGTGCTAGTGCAGGGGAGCAGCAGGAGCAGAAGAAGCAAGAGGGGCAGGATGGGGAGGTTCAGAAGAAGGGGCAGGAGGAGCAGACGATGCAAGAAGAGGAGCAGGCCAAGCAGAAGGAGGAACAGGAGGTGAAGCAGGATGAGCAAGTGAGTCTGATGCAGCAGAGTAGAACGTTAGCAGTGGCGCCTCAGCAGCAGCAGGAACATCTCAATTCACAGGCGCACGGGAAGGGTTATAAGGGTTTAGGAATAGAGCTATCTGCTCCGCAGCAGGAAAAAGAGCAGACAGCAAACCTGCAGCAGCAGCAGTCGCAGCAAGTGAAGGTAGAAACTGCACTCATTTCTGGGGTGAGTCAGCAAATCGGGGGCATATCACTTGGGAATGACATGGAGGTCCCTACACCCAAGGGATTCACCGCGTTATTCTCCTCCTCCTCCTCCTCCTCCTCCTCCTCCTCCTCTTCCTCCTCCTCCTCCTCCTCCTCCTCCTCCTCCTCCTCCTCCTCCTCCTCCTCCTCCTCCTCCTCCTCCTCCTCCTCCTCCTCCTCCTCCTCCTCCTCCTCCTCCTCCTCCACCACCACCATGGCCCTTGCTCAACGGAAACCTTTCTACTCAACATCATTCGTTCCCGTGCAATCCTCTACACCTGCCGATTTCCCCAGCCTCTCCTCCCCTTTCCCCTCCTCCCCTGTCTCCTCCTCTTCCTCACGACCACCAACTAACCGCGTGTTACGTAGGGGCTGGTCGTCGGAAGTCCCTGGGGATAGAAGCAGGGGTAAGAGGGCAGCGGGAGATGGCAGCAGGGGGGGAATGGGGCTGGGAGGGTACGGGGAACGTGAGAGCGTTTTGGTTGGGGAGTACACGAAACTGAAACGGCCTTCAACTAGTGGTGGTGGCGGTGGCGGTGGCGGCGGTGACGGCAGAGGTTTTCTTTATAGTGAAGAAGGGAACAACACGCCAAGCGGCTCTAAGGTCAGCAAGGGCGGCGGCCTCTCCCTCCCTCTCACCGGTTTCCCCGACTCATCCTTCAATGCTTCAGTGTCGGGCGCATGGCAGCAGTTCAGCCGCTCCCTACGCCTTCTCTCCCCGTTAGACCTCTGCGGAGCCCCGCCGCAGCCCTTGAGAGGAGCACGGCCGGGCGCCCGGCTGCCTGCCCTTGGGGGGTTTAGGGGGCTTGGGGGAGCAGCGGGGGGGGGAGGTGGGTCGGAGGTGGAGATGGAGTGGAGGGAGAGGCTGTTAGAGAGGCGCAAGGAGGTTGGGTTCCAGCGGTCGTCCTCGCTGAGTGACGCAGAGGCGTTTCAGCATCTGGGGCTGTATGGGTTGGACGAGGAGGGGTATGGGCAGGATGGGGTGGGGAAGGAGGGGGGGGGTTTGGGATCCAGGGACGGGATGAGAAAGGGTGGGATTGGCGCTGGGAGTGGTTTTGGCTTAGGAGTGGGTCGCAGCTCGAGTAGTAAGTCAGCAGAGGAGGGTGCTTCTGCTGGTTCTCCTGCGTCTGCTTCTGCTTCTGCCGTTGCGGGCGCTGGTGGTGGTGGTGCGAGCTCTGCTGGTTTCGCCGCTGTTGGCTTTGGTGCCGGTGGTGACGTGCTGGGCTTCCTGTCTCGTGGGTTCGGAGGCAGTAGCAGGTCAGCAGGAGGGGCGGTGGGAGCAGGGGCAGGGCGAGTGCAGCAGCAGCAGCAGCAGCAGCAGCAGCAGCAGCAGCAGCAGCAGCAGCAGCAGCAGCAGCAGCAAGGCAGTGGGGGTGCGGGCCTGGCAGCGTGCATCAGCGGTGCAGCAGGCAGCACAGGGAGGATGATGGGAGGAGGAGGGGGTTGGAATGCAGTGGGTGCAAGTGGTGATGATGACGATGACGAGTCGCTGCTGCTGGGTTACTCGAGAATTGATGTTGATGGTGACTCTGCGGGGGGTTCAGGGAGAAGCGGGGAGCAGGAGGAGGGCGTGGAGGCAGCCGTGGGAGTGGGGGTGGGCGTGGGGGTGAGGGTGGGGAGATCTGGCATGGCTGTTGGATCTTCTGGGGTGGTGGGTGCAGATTCAGCTGATGTAAGCTATGGGTCCTTGGTGGGCCTTGCAGTTCTAGCTGCTGCGCCTTTACTTTGTGTTTGCTTCGTGCAGCATGCAACTGACTCATGAGATGCCCGTGCTTTACGTCCCTGCCCACTGCTGAGTCGGATGCTGTGCTGACTGCCATGCTGACTGCCATGCCAACCAATGCGTTTTCCACTACCATGTTATAACATGCTTCGCTGCTTGCTGCTCACAGTGCATCCGCATTTTCAACTGCACTCTGCCTTGGTGCGACAACCACCCATCAACCTCAGTCTCTCTCTCTCTCTCTCACTCTCCCATGTTCCTTCCTGCACTCCTTCATTCCCCCAACCCCCCCATCTTCTGCACTCTCCCGCATGTGTTACCTGCTGGCAGCCCTCATCGGCCTCCTTCATTCCATCTGGCCTACGGCACAATGTAGGATGCCATGCCTGAAAGGATGGTGTGCTGTGCCATGCCATGCCATGCCATGCCATGCCATGCCGTGCCGTGCACGCCCTTCCATGCCAGCGTTCTGTTGCACGCACACAAGCATGGCTGTTCACGAATCACGCCTTGCTATGGCACCCATTGTCTGCATGTTATTTGGGTTCACTGGCACACACCACTTCTGTTGCCCCTCGGTCACGTCTCCCCCTACGCCTCAAATCTCCAGCAGTTGACGTTGCAAGGTCGTGGCTCAACTCACGCATGTTATACCGCAAGTCAGCCTTCATTCCTCCTCTCGTTTTGTCCGTGCACTCATGATGTTCATCGCTATACACCCACGCCCCCCCTCCCCTCTTCCCCCTTTGCTCCTGCCCACTTTCCCCCCTCCTTTCCAATGGGCAGAGGCTCTGTCTGCTTGTCGCCGTGTTGGCTCTGCAAGCCCTTGTTGGCGCTGCAATTGCCTTCCTTGTTCTCTTCACCTGAAAAAAACCTTGCTGGACGCTGGTTGAGTTCCTCCTATCATGCTCAACTTGTGCTGGCTGTGCAATACAGTACATACAATTAGGACCACAAATGTAGGACCTTGTACAAGTATCTTCTCCATACTTTTATCGATCGCTTGTTCTTCTCACATGCTTCTGGAATTGTTTCTTCACTCATACCGTATGTGCTCTTCTGGAACAATATTTTGGGTGCATTGATTATTGAGGTACCGCAACTCTCTTCTCTGGTTACTGAACCCATGAAATTAGAGAGCCATGGCCCGAATCTAGGATGTCCCGGCCTGGTCCCAGTCAACCTTGGTGATGTCGAAACAGCCCGAATCTAGTATGTCCCAGCCCCCTGTCCTCCCAACACCCCCCTCCCCTTCCCCTGAACCACTGCCCAGCACTCGACTCAACAAGACGGTGGTCCCCCTCTGTGCCTTAGGGCGTATCCCTGGGTGGTGGCAGGACCACTGTAGATGGCAGGCGGTTTTTGCGGATGCCACGAATACCTATAACGGCAGGTTGGTGGCAGAAAACTGGCGCGCATAAGCAACAAGGCGATTGGTTGAACGAACCGATCGCCTGGTTGGGTTGGGTCACACGGTCCAATCACCACATCGCATATCCAAATCTCCCTCGCAAACTGGGCTCGCACACACCACGTTCGAGCTCTCACATGCCGGTAAAATTCCCGGCCCACCAACTGCTGTCATTGGTCGGGACAGGAACGTGCATATCCCCTCCCCGAAGGGGACCCCAACTACATTGCATCAGCTTGGCGGCAAAGTCATCACCACCTCCTCCAGATCTAGGTACGCACTACGCATGTTGTGAACCTCCAACAACTCCACTTCACGCGATACTTTATTTGGTCTAGCAAGTTTAGAACCTCAGCCGCATCATGCCCCCCCGTAAGCAGAGAGCCCGTGGTAAGGGAAAGGAGAAGGTAGATGATCGCGAGCCATGGGAGGACCCGCCCTACGTCAAGTGGATGAAGGAACAGTGCGAAAACGGCAAAACGCGTGGTCAAATAATGCGGGAAGCAGCTCCTAGGCGGGACGGCGCCGGCCCGAGCGGAGCGCGTGGCGCTCATGCAGACAGCTCTGACGGCGGCGGTGACACCGACGTGAGCGATGACGAGCTCGAGGAGATTGTCTCCTCCAGCGGATCCGAGGACGACTCCGACAACTCGAACGCGAATGACAGTAGCGACGAGGAGGAGTCCGACGCGGATCCCGCCGGCTCGGATGCTGGCCCAAGTACACGCAAGCGCACACGTGACGCGAAAGCGAAGCGCAAGTGGAGCGACGAGGAGCTTACTGCATTGGCGGCCGCTAAGTGGTACACTCGCGACGATCTGAAGCAGATGCGTGGCAAACAAGGCAATCAATATTGGAAGAAGCTCCGCGCGCACATGAAAAAGAGCGGCGTAAAGTGGAAGCGCAACAGCACCGCCATGCAACACGCATGGAAGCGTCTTGAGGCAGAGTACCGTGACACGATGCGCCACAACGGCACGTCAGGGAAGGCGCCCAAGCGGAAGAAACCCTGGTTCGAGTATGTTTACCTCATTAAGAAGCTCCCTGCCAACGTTAAACCGCATGTGCTGGATGGTGGCGGAGCAGGGGAGACCCACGCTGATCCAGGAGCACCAATACGCGACGATGCCGAGATGGGCGAGGGTGGAATGGTGACGCCCAGTGCCACGCTCCCTGATCGTCAAGTCCGTCGGCCAGGAGGCCTTGAAGGCAAGTGTTCAAGCTAACACGTCAAACAACTCTTTTTTTAACGATGTATCGCGTGTTGCATGTGATCGCGTCAGTTTATGAAGATTTTGATTATAACATTAACATTGCAACAGAGGAAACGCGGGCATCATGCATCCTACTCCTCCACTCCCCGCTGCAGGCACCCCTTCACCACTGCCTCCCAAGCGTTCCCGAGTCAACGAGACCGCCACCATGGCGGCAGCGAAAGTCATCGCCGACACAATCACAACATGCAATGCTCAGGCGCTGCGGCAGCTTAGCGACACGGTGCAACTCCTCGTGACAGCCATCCACGTCGCTGCCACGATCGGGAGGGCTCCGCCTCCACAACCCCAGCCTATGGCGCCGCCGCCGCCCGCCAATGCGCACGCCCTCACAGTCACGCATGGCAACGAAGACTCGCCCGCCTTAGGCGGAGAGGCTGGCGACGTTCCCCACAATGTGGACGAGGAGGCGCGCGATGACATGACGTCCGACTAGTCACGCTCAAGGCGCCACGGGCGGTGCCTTCTCAGGTAAGCACGATGCATGTGCTTTCCAAACTGCTTCCGCCGCTTGCGAAGGTCGGACTGTCCAGCACTGTCAGCATCACACCATCTGTATGTCCTCATGCCACTCCGGTGGTACCACGGTGGGCCGTTGCCCATCCACACCCGCCACTGATGCCTGAATGTACGGTTCCTTGGCTCGTCAGTGCGCAGGATCATGTTGTGCAGGATGATGATGCACGCAGTCCCCGCACACACACGCGTCAACTTGCTCTCGTGTCGCCGGCCGAACAGACGCCACCTCCCCTTTAGTGCACCAATGGTCCGCTCCACAACCATGCGGGTGGCGGAATGGACGTAGTTATACGTCTGCTCCCAGCTCTTCATCAGGCGCCGGCGGGTTGCGTTGACAGGAGTGAGGCAGTAGCTGCGCAGCGGGTAGGCAGCATCACCGACGATCTGGTACGGTCCGAGGTCACCACGCTCTAGGCGCGCGTGCAGTTCGGACTGCTGGAAGATTCCCTGATCATGCATAGATCCCGGGTGGCCGACGGTGTAGTCCCAGATAATCCCCTTGCTGTCGCATGTAATTTGCAACTGGGTTGAGTAGACCGACTTCCTGTTGTAATACTCTTGCCTATGGTTCTCCATCCCCCTTATCTCCACATGTGTGCCATCAATTGCTCCCACAACATTCGGTACCCCCCGTACTTCCTTGAAGTCCGAGGCCATCTCCTCCATCTCCTCTGCACTGGGAAAGCGCACCCATGTCTTCTTGAACCTCCGGGGGAAGTGCACGAGGAAGGCCTCCACAATCCTGTGCACAATGGTCTTGGGCAGACCGAAGTAGAGGCCCAGGTCGATGAATGTCATGGCGCTGGCAAAGTATTTGATAGGGATGAGCACACAAAGGTCGAGCGGGATCCCGAGCTTCTCAACGAAGTGGCTCATGGGGAGGGCCATGACAGGTGCAATGTACTCCAGCAGTTCAGGCGAGATGCGGAAGACGTTGACAAAATCATCGTCCTCCATAATGCAGAGCTCAACCAGCCATTCCGCCATGCGTCGTGCGCGGCGCTCCTTCCGCTGACGCTGAATGCGTTCGATCCTCCTCCGCTCTTCAGCGGCCGCCTCATCGTTCGTACCCTGTGTAGCGCCTTGCATTGCTATCCACTGGAGGGCACCAATGCCCACTGTACGGTTGAAGCTCTCTAGATAGAACCCATATAATAGGTTCACAGCTATGCAGAACAAGAGACCATCCAGGGGGGACATGAGGGACGGAATAAGGCGGTGAGGAGGACGCGCATATGGACTGTGCGTCGAATGCCTTTGGACCCCTCATTTCAGCGGCGTGGTGTTGGCTGAGCGGCGCGCAGAGCGTCTCGGTGGTCGTCAAGTAAAGATGAGTTGCAGGAGGTTGTAAAGGAGCGAGGTGGTTTTACAGTTTGCCAATATTGCATTTCTCTCAACCACTTCGTGTCTGCCACTTTACAGGCCTTTCGTGAGCGTCAAGTTTAGATGTTGCCGGTGCCAGGTGTCGATGAACCCTGATTGTAGTGACCGGTTGGACATTTGGAGTGGTATCGCACGCTTGTTGTGATTGGTTGGTTCTTACCGTGTGCGACTGTCGCACATTTGGTTGAGGTTGCCACGAACTGCGAGCCGCGGGCGGTTCGGGCACAATGTTGGTGGCATGCGGTTTTCCCGCATGCCACCAACAGTGACTGCTACAGTTGCCCTGCCACCAGCCAGGGATACGCCCTTAGATGAAGGCATGACATGACACAGTGGTAAAGATAATGAAGAAAACTACGGTAGTACTATTAGAAACTATCAGGCAGGAATGAGTTCACTAGCAGGGAATGAAAGTACAAGTACCAAACCTTAAAAGAGTTGTACTCTATTTTGGCTACCCCACTACAGACTACAAACGTATAAATCAGTTTTGACCCTACACCATAAGAACCAGTAATCCAAGGTGCATAAAGAAGTAATGACAACTCAGTCAAATCAGGGTAAAAATGCAACACCAGAAAATAAACCCTTGATTCTGACAGCAGTCGCAATAAGAGGCGCACCGAGCCTTTGCTATTCACGGTATTTCCTTACACCGTACACCCACCTCAACCTCTATCCTTTAAACATCAGGCCTCACATTTACCCTTGGCTATTTTGACCTTGCTTGGAATGCACACTTTTGTACCCTTAATCAGTTTGTCGATGCAGTCGTAACCGTTGATGTGCCTGTAGCAGCCTTTCACACCTCGGAAAAGCTTGACCTGGATCCCCGTGCAGCGATCGCCAGTGCCGATTGTAATTGCAGTGGCGCGGGGACACGTCCCCTGGAGAAGACTGTCCGTGCTCCCGACACACGCCTGCAGAGCACGTGACACACCAAGCAAAAGAAGACGTGGAGGAGAGAAAGAAAATCACAATCAACTTCACCATCTCCATTACCATTTCCATCACCATCACCATCACCATCACCATCACCATCACCATCACCATCACCATCACCATCTCCATCTCCATCTCCATCAGCATCAGCATCAGCATCAGCATCAGCATCACCATCTCCATCTCCATCTCCATCTCCATCTCCATCAGCATCAGCATCAGCATCAGCATCTCCATCTCCATCACCATCAGCATCAGCATCAGCATCAGCATCAGCATCAACATCAGCATCACCATCTCCATCAGCATCACCATCAGCATCAGCATCAGCATCACCATCTCCATCTCCATCACCATCACCATCACCATCTCCATCTCCATTAGCATCAGCATCAGCATCAGCATCAGCATCTCCATCACCATCACCATCACCATCACCATCACCATCACCGCCGATCTTTCCTTACGTTCGTTCCTCCATTATCCACCGCTCCCCTCATTTCACACTGCCCTTTCCGGTCCTTGCTCCCTCCCCGTCTCCTCCCCTGCCGCTCCCTCCCGTCTCCCTCTCTCCCTGCCTCCTTCCCTCCCATCCCTCTCTCCATCGCTTTTCACCTCCCCACCCTCTCTGCCTCTCTCCCCCTCTCCCTCTCGCTCCTCCGCCTCCGTTCTCTCTTCCTTTCATCACCTGCTACTGCATTGCATGCGCGCCTGTTCCCTTGCAGCAGCGGCAACGGGAGCGGGTGTAGGCCCTCCCTGCCCTGGCATGCCCCCAAGGAGTCCGCTGAAGATTGCTGCTGGTGGGGGCCGGCGGGAGATCATTCTGATCAAGGAGCCAAAGAAGAGTAGGAGGCAGAGGGCTGCGTCTGTGGGTGGCGGTGCTGGGAGTGGGGCGGTTGGGGCAGTCTGTATTACACAGGAGCAAGCCGTGGTTGGTGGCGGTGCTAGTGCAGGGGAGCAGCAGGAGCAGAAGAAGCAAGAGGGGCAGGATGGGGAGGTTCAGAAGAAGGGGCAGGAGGAGCAGACGATGCAAGAAGAGGAGCAGGCCAAGCAGAAGGAGGAACAGGAGGTGAAGCAGGATGAGCAAGTGAGTCTGATGCAGCAGAGTAGAACGTTAGCAGTGGCGCCTCAGCAGCAGCAGGAACATCTCAATTCACAGGCGCACGGGAAGGGTTATAAGGGTTTAGGAATAGAGCTATCTGCTCCGCAGCAGGAAAAAGAGCAGACAGCAAACCTGCAGCAGCAGCAGTCGCAGCAAGTGAAGGTAGAAACTGCACTCATTTCTGGGGTGAGTCAGCAAATCGGGGGCATATCACTTGGGAATGACATGGAGGTCCCTACACCCAAGGGATTCACCGCGTTATTCTCCTCCTCCTCCTCCTCCTCCTCCTCCTCCTCCTCTTCCTCCTCCTCCTCCTCCTCCTCCTCCTCCTCCTCCTCCTCCTCCTCCTCCTCCTCCTCCTCCTCCTCCTCCTCCTCCTCCTCCTCCTCCTCCTCCTCCTCCTCCTCCACCACCACCATGGCCCTTGCTCAACGGAAACCTTTCTACTCAACATCATTCGTTCCCGTGCAATCCTCTACACCTGCCGATTTCCCCAGCCTCTCCTCCCCTTTCCCCTCCTCCCCTGTCTCCTCCTCTTCCTCACGACCACCAACTAACCGCGTGTTACGTAGGGGCTGGTCGTCGGAAGTCCCTGGGGATAGAAGCAGGGGTAAGAGGGCAGCGGGAGATGGCAGCAGGGGGGGAATGGGGCTGGGAGGGTACGGGGAACGTGAGAGCGTTTTGGTTGGGGAGTACACGAAACTGAAACGGCCTTCAACTAGTGGTGGTGGCGGTGGCGGTGGCGGCGGTGACGGCAGAGGTTTTCTTTATAGTGAAGAAGGGAACAACACGCCAAGCGGCTCTAAGGTCAGCAAGGGCGGCGGCCTCTCCCTCCCTCTCACCGGTTTCCCCGACTCATCCTTCAATGCTTCAGTGTCGGGCGCATGGCAGCAGTTCAGCCGCTCCCTACGCCTTCTCTCCCCGTTAGACCTCTGCGGAGCCCCGCCGCAGCCCTTGAGAGGAGCACGGCCGGGCGCCCGGCTGCCTGCCCTTGGGGGGTTTAGGGGGCTTGGGGGAGCAGCGGGGGGGGGAGGTGGGTCGGAGGTGGAGATGGAGTGGAGGGAGAGGCTGTTAGAGAGGCGCAAGGAGGTTGGGTTCCAGCGGTCGTCCTCGCTGAGTGACGCAGAGGCGTTTCAGCATCTGGGGCTGTATGGGTTGGACGAGGAGGGGTATGGGCAGGATGGGGTGGGGAAGGAGGGGGGGGGTTTGGGATCCAGGGACGGGATGAGAAAGGGTGGGATTGGCGCTGGGAGTGGTTTTGGCTTAGGAGTGGGTCGCAGCTCGAGTAGTAAGTCAGCAGAGGAGGGTGCTTCTGCTGGTTCTCCTGCGTCTGCTTCTGCTTCTGCCGTTGCGGGCGCTGGTGGTGGTGGTGCGAGCTCTGCTGGTTTCGCCGCTGTTGGCTTTGGTGCCGGTGGTGACGTGCTGGGCTTCCTGTCTCGTGGGTTCGGAGGCAGTAGCAGGTCAGCAGGAGGGGCGGTGGGAGCAGGGGCAGGGCGAGTGCAGCAGCAGCAGCAGCAGCAGCAGCAGCAGCAGCAGCAGCAGCAGCAAGGCAGTGGGGGTGCGGGCCTGGCAGCGTGCATCAGCGGTGCAGCAGGCAGCACAGGGAGGATGATGGGAGGAGGAGGGGGTTGGAATGCAGTGGGTGCAAGTGGTGATGATGACGATGACGAGTCGCTGCTGCTGGGTTACTCGAGAATTGATGTTGATGGTGACTCTGCGGGGGGTTCAGGGAGAAGCGGGGAGCAGGAGGAGGGCGTGGAGGCAGCCGTGGGAGTGGGGGTGGGCGTGGGGGTGAGGGTGGGGAGATCTGGCATGGCTGTTGGATCTTCTGGGGTGGTGGGTGCAGATTCAGCTGATGTAAGCTATGGGTCCTTGGTGGGCCTTGCAGTTCTAGCTGCTGCGCCTTTACTTTGTGTTTGCTTCGTGCAGCATGCAACTGACTCATGAGATGCCCGTGCTTTACGTCCCTGCCCACTGCTGAGTCGGATGCTGTGCTGACTGCCATGCTGACTGCCATGCCGACCAATGCGTTTTCCACTACCATGTTATAACATGCTTCGCTGCTTGCTGCTCACAGTGCATCCGCATTTTCAACTGCACTCTGCCTTGGTGCGACAACCACCCATCAACCTCAGTCTCTCTCTCTCTCTCACTCTCCCATGTTCCTTCCTGCACTCCTTCATTCCCCCAACCCCCCCATCTTCTGCACTCTCCCGCATGTGTTACCTGCTGGCAGCCCTCATCGGCCTCCTTCATTCCATCTGGCCTACGGCACAATGTAGGATGCCATGCCTGAAAGGATGGTGTGCTGTGCCATGCCATGCCATGCCATGCCATGCCATGCCGTGCCGTGCACGCCCTTCCATGCCAGCGTTCTGTTGCACGCACACAAGCATGGCTGTTCACGAATCACGCCTTGCTATGGCACCCATTGTCTGCATGTTATTTGGGTTCACTGGCACACACCACTTCTGTTGCCCCTCGGTCACGTCTCCCCCTACGCCTCAAATCTCCAGCAGTTGACGTTGCAAGGTCGTGGCTCAACTCACGCATGTTATACCGCAAGTCAGCCTTCATTCCTCCTCTCGTTTTGTCCGTGCACTCATGATGTTCATCGCTATACACCCACGCCCCCCCTCCCCTCTTCCCCCTTTGCTCCTGCCCACTTTCCCCCCTCCTTTCCAATGGGCAGAGGCTCTGTCTGCTTGTCGCCGTGTTGGCTCTGCAAGCCCTTGTTGGCGCTGCAATTGCCTTCCTTGTTCTCTTCACCTGAAAAAAACCTTGCTGGACGCTGGTTGAGTTCCTCCTATCATGCTCAACTTGTGCTGGCTGTGCAATACAGTACATACAATTAGGACCACAAATGTAGGACCTTGTACAAGTATCTTCTCCATACTTTTATCGATCGCTTGTTCTTCTCACATGCTTCTGGAATTGTTTCTTCACTCATACCGTATGTGCTCTTCTGGAACAATATTTTGGGTGCATTGATTATTGAGGTACCGCAACTCTCTTCTCTGGTTACTGAACCCATGAAATTAGAGAGCCATGGCCCGAATCTAGGATGTCCCGGCCTGGTCCCAGTCAACCTTGGTGATGTCGAAACAGCCCGAATCTAGTATGTCCCAGCCCCCTGTCCTCCCAACACCCCCCTCCCCTTCCCCTGAACCACTGCCCAGCACTCGACTCAACAAGACGGTGGTCCCCCTCTGTGCCTTAGGGCGTATCCCTGGGTGGTGGCAGGACCACTGTAGATGGCAGGCGGTTTTTGCGGATGCCACGAATACCTATAACGGCAGGTTGGTGGCAGAAAACTGGCGCGCATAAGCAACAAGGCGATTGGTTGAACGAACCGATCGCCTGGTTGGGTTGGGTCACACGGTCCAATCACCACATCGCATATCCAAATCTCCCTCGCAAACTGGGCTCGCACACACCACGTTCGAGCTCTCACATGCCGGTAAAATTCCCGGCCCACCAACTGCTGTCATTGGTCGGGACAGGAACGTGCATATCCCCTCCCCGAAGGGGACCCCAACTACATTGCATCAGCTTGGCGGCAAAGTCATCACCACCTCCTCCAGATCTAGGTACGCACTACGCATGTTGTGAACCTCCAACAACTCCACTTCACGCGATACTTTATTTGGTCTAGCAAGTTTAGAACCTCAGCCGCATCATGCCCCCCCGTAAGCAGAGAGCCCGTGGTAAGGGAAAGGAGAAGGTAGATGATCGCGAGCCATGGGAGGACCCGCCCTACGTCAAGTGGATGAAGGAACAGTGCGAAAACGGCAAAACGCGTGGTCAAATAATGCGGGAAGCAGCTCCTAGGCGGGACGGCGCCGGCCCGAGCGGAGCGCGTGGCGCTCATGCAGACAGCTCTGACGGCGGCGGTGACACCGACGTGAGCGATGACGAGCTCGAGGAGATTGTCTCCTCCAGCGGATCCGAGGACGACTCCGACAACTCGAACGCGAATGACAGTAGCGACGAGGAGGAGTCCGACGCGGATCCCGCCGGCTCGGATGCTGGCCCAAGTACACGCAAGCGCACACGTGACGCGAAAGCGAAGCGCAAGTGGAGCGACGAGGAGCTTACTGCATTGGCGGCCGCTAAGTGGTACACTCGCGACGATCTGAAGCAGATGCGTGGCAAACAAGGCAATCAATATTGGAAGAAGCTCCGCGCGCACATGAAAAAGAGCGGCGTAAAGTGGAAGCGCAACAGCACCGCCATGCAACACGCATGGAAGCGTCTTGAGGCAGAGTACCGTGACACGATGCGCCACAACGGCACGTCAGGGAAGGCGCCCAAGCGGAAGAAACCCTGGTTCGAGTATGTTTACCTCATTAAGAAGCTCCCTGCCAACGTTAAACCGCATGTGCTGGATGGTGGCGGAGCAGGGGAGACCCACGCTGATCCAGGAGCACCAATACGCGACGATGCCGAGATGGGCGAGGGTGGAATGGTGACGCCCAGTGCCACGCTCCCTGATCGTCAAGTCCGTCGGCCAGGAGGCCTTGAAGGCAAGTGTTCAAGCTAACACGTCAAACAACTCTTTTTTTAACGATGTATCGCGTGTTGCATGTGATCGCGTCAGTTTATGAAGATTTTGATTATAACATTAACATTGCAACAGAGGAAACGCGGGCATCATGCATCCTACTCCTCCACTCCCCGCTGCAGGCACCCCTTCACCACTGCCTCCCAAGCGTTCCCGAGTCAACGAGACCGCCACCATGGCGGCAGCGAAAGTCATCGCCGACACAATCACAACATGCAATGCTCAGGCGCTGCGGCAGCTTAGCGACACGGTGCAACTCCTCGTGACAGCCATCCACGTCGCTGCCACGATCGGGAGGGCTCCGCCTCCACAACCCCAGCCTATGGCGCCGCCGCCGCCCGCCAATGCGCACGCCCTCACAGTCACGCATGGCAACGAAGACTCGCCCGCCTTAGGCGGAGAGGCTGGCGACGTTCCCCACAATGTGGACGAGGAGGCGCGCGATGACATGACGTCCGACTAGTCACGCTCAAGGCGCCACGGGCGGTGCCTTCTCAGGTAAGCACGATGCATGTGCTTTCCAAACTGCTTCCGCCGCTTGCGAAGGTCGGACTGTCCAGCACTGTCAGCATCACACCATCTGTATGTCCTCATGCCACTCCGGTGGTACCACGGTGGGCCGTTGCCCATCCACACCCGCCACTGATGCCTGAATGTACGGTTCCTTGGCTCGTCAGTGCGCAGGATCATGTTGTGCAGGATGATGATGCACGCAGTCCCCGCACACACACGCGTCAACTTGCTCTCGTGTCGCCGGCCGAACAGACGCCACCTCCCCTTTAGTGCACCAATGGTCCGCTCCACAACCATGCGGGTGGCGGAATGGACGTAGTTATACGTCTGCTCCCAGCTCTTCATCAGGCGCCGGCGGGTTGCGTTGACAGGAGTGAGGCAGTAGCTGCGCAGCGGGTAGGCAGCATCACCGACGATCTGGTACGGTCCGAGGTCACCACGCTCTAGGCGCGCGTGCAGTTCGGACTGCTGGAAGATTCCCTGATCATGCATAGATCCCGGGTGGCCGACGGTGTAGTCCCAGATAATCCCCTTGCTGTCGCATGTAATTTGCAACTGGGTTGAGTAGACCGACTTCCTGTTGTAATACTCTTGCCTATGGTTCTCCATCCCCCTTATCTCCACATGTGTGCCATCAATTGCTCCCACAACATTCGGTACCCCCCGTACTTCCTTGAAGTCCGAGGCCATCTCCTCCATCTCCTCTGCACTGGGAAAGCGCACCCATGTCTTCTTGAACCTCCGGGGGAAGTGCACGAGGAAGGCCTCCACAATCCTGTGCACAATGGTCTTGGGCAGACCGAAGTAGAGGCCCAGGTCGATGAATGTCATGGCGCTGGCAAAGTATTTGATAGGGATGAGCACACAAAGGTCGAGCGGGATCCCGAGCTTCTCAACGAAGTGGCTCATGGGGAGGGCCATGACAGGTGCAATGTACTCCAGCAGTTCAGGCGAGATGCGGAAGACGTTGACAAAATCATCGTCCTCCATAATGCAGAGCTCAACCAGCCATTCCGCCATGCGTCGTGCGCGGCGCTCCTTCCGCTGACGCTGAATGCGTTCGATCCTCCTCCGCTCTTCAGCGGCCGCCTCATCGTTCGTACCCTGTGTAGCGCCTTGCATTGCTATCCACTGGAGGGCACCAATGCCCACTGTACGGTTGAAGCTCTCTAGATAGAACCCATATAATAGGTTCACAGCTATGCAGAACAAGAGACCATCCAGGGGGGACATGAGGGACGGAATAAGGCGGTGAGGAGGACGCGCATATGGACTGTGCGTCGAATGCCTTTGGACCCCTCATTTCAGCGGCGTGGTGTTGGCTGAGCGGCGCGCAGAGCGTCTCGGTGGTCGTCAAGTAAAGATGAGTTGCAGGAGGTTGTAAAGGAGCGAGGTGGTTTTACAGTTTGCCAATATTGCATTTCTCTCAACCACTTCGTGTCTGCCACTTTACAGGCCTTTCGTGAGCGTCAAGTTTAGATGTTGCCGGTGCCAGGTGTCGATGAACCCTGATTGTAGTGACCGGTTGGACATTTGGAGTGGTATCGCACGCTTGTTGTGATTGGTTGGTTCTTACCGTGTGCGACTGTCGCACATTTGGTTGAGGTTGCCACGAACTGCGAGCCGCGGGCGGTTCGGGCACAATGTTGGTGGCATGCGGTTTTCCCGCATGCCACCAACAGTGACTGCTACAGTTGCCCTGCCACCAGCCAGGGATACGCCCTTAGATGAAGGCATGACATGACACAGTGGTAAAGATAATGAAGAAAACTACGGTAGTACTATTAGAAACTATCAGGCAGGAATGAGTTCACTAGCAGGGAATGAAAGTACAAGTACCAAACCTTAAAAGAGTTGTACTCTATTTTGGCTACCCCACTACAGACTACAAACGTATAAATCAGTTTTGACCCTACACCATAAGAACCAGTAATCCAAGGTGCATAAAGAAGTAATGACAACTCAGTCAAATCAGGGTAAAAATGCAACACCAGAAAATAAACCCTTGATTCTGACAGCAGTCGCAATAAGAGGCGCACCGAGCCTTTGCTATTCACGGTATTTCCTTACACCGTACACCCACCTCAACCTCTATCCTTTAAACATCAGGCCTCACATTTACCCTTGGCTATTTTGACCTTGCTTGGAATGCACACTTTTGTACCCTTAATCAGTTTGTCGATGCAGTCGTAACCGTTGATGTGCCTGTAGCAGCCTTTCACACCTCGGAAAAGCTTGACCTGGATCCCCGTGCAGCGATCGCCAGTGCCGATTGTAATTGCAGTGGCGCGGGGACACGTCCCCTGGAGAAGACTGTCCGTGCTCCCGACACACGCCTGCAGAGCACGTGACACACCAAGCAAAAGAAGACGTGGAGGAGAGAAAGAAAATCACAATCAACTTCACCATCTCCATTACCATTTCCATCACCATCACCATCACCATCACCATCACCATCACCATCACCATCACCATCACCATCTCCATCTCCATCTCCATCAGCATCAGCATCAGCATCAGCATCAGCATCACCATCTCCATCTCCATCTCCATCTCCATCTCCATCAGCATCAGCATCAGCATCAGCATCTCCATCTCCATCACCATCAGCATCAGCATCAGCATCAGCATCAGCATCAACATCAGCATCACCATCTCCATCAGCATCACCATCAGCATCAGCATCAGCATCACCATCTCCATCTCCATCACCATCACCATCACCATCTCCATCTCCATTAGCATCAGCATCAGCATCAGCATCAGCATCTCCATCACCATCACCATCACCATCACCATCACCATCACCTTCACCATCTCCATCTCCATCACCATCACCATCACCATCACCATCACCATCACCATCACCATCACCATCACCATCTCCATCTCCATCTCCATCTCCATCAGCATTAGCATCAGCATCAGCATCAGCATCTCCATCTCCATCTCCATCACCATCACCATCACCATTACCATCACCATCACTCAAGCATGTCCTTGCTACAAGAGTGTTCATGCTCCCAACGCAAGCCCTACAGCATGTGGCACATCCGTCGGAGGTTGTTCTGTAGTCGACTAGAAAACCACCTCCATAGTAGCATAAAGAAAAATAATATGCAAAACCACGCAAAGAAACCCAAGCTAGAGTATTGCATGAAATGCCCAAATTACCTCGAAAATCTCCTGCAATGCTCAACTAACATCGCCTCGCTCGAAGCAATGCTGAAAACCAGCAACCCTCAGGCTCACCTCGAAGCCAGTCAAGCTGCCAACGTCCGTCTTGGGAACAAGACGGTTGCACTTGATGCCAGGGTTGAGACGGTAGAAGTCGACACGGGAGAGAGGCGGGTTGGGCCCGTTGCGGATGGACTCGCACGTCTCGGCGCTCTCCACGAAGTAATACTGCGAACACAGCGCCACCAGCCCCGCCATCTCCGCCCGCCGCTCCACACACACCGCCTGGCTTGCCGGCAGCTGCCCGCTGTTGGCGCTGCAGTCCACCCCCGGGTTGAGCGCCTGCAAGGCTGCCGTGCACTCGGGGGACGGACAGCTGCTGGCCAGAGAGAAGTAGGTCGCCAGGGCCTCACAGGTGTCTCCCTGGCGGGCATGGGAGGGGCGAGAGGTGGGAGGGGCGGCAGGCAAGGAGGGGGCAGGGAGGAGGTAGGGAGGGAGATAACATAAAGGACTTAGCGGACAAACAGACAAACAAGTGCAGCAGACTCACAAGTGCAGCGCACGCACTTGCAAGTGCAGCAGAATCTCTAGTGCGGCGCACACAAGTACAGCAGACTCTCTAGTGCTACACACTCACAAGTGCGGCGGACTCACAAGTGTGGCGGACTCACAAGTGCGGCGGACTCACAAGTGCGGCGGACTCACAAGTGCGGCGAACTCTCTAGTGCGGCGGACTCTCACAAGCAGCTTTTGTTTGCCCTCATGTGAGATGAAAAAGTTACAACCCACAACACAAACCACCTACTACCTGCCACATCCCACGGACCACTTTCTACCCACCACCATCCCCTTACTACCACCTTCTGCCTGCCACCCGCCAAGTACCTGCTCAGTGGTGTAGTAGACAGAGCATGAGGTGATGGTGGTGGGTGGGGCGACTCGGAGCACCGAGTAGACGGGCAGAGCAGAGCCACACGAGATGGCCTGGTGGCAGAGCAGAAGGCAAGCAGGTAAGGAACACGTGATTGGGTGCGAGAGAGGAAATCAGGTCAGAGGGAGGAAAGGGGCGTGGAAAGAAAGAAGTGCAACACGAGAGGACTGCAACCTTAAACACAATGGAAGCTCTCACGATCTCGCGGTCTCGCGGTCTCACAATTTCACGATTGTTGGTGAAACCCTTCGGTTTGCACTCGACTTGTTGTTCGTGTGCGTGCATGAGTGTGTGCATGGAATGGTATGAGGGCATCAGATAGTAAATATTTCATGCTTATAATAGTGTGTGAATGATGAGTCATGATGTCGAATGTGTGTGTGTGTGTGTGTGTGTGTGTGTGTGTGTGTGTGTGTGTGTGTGTGTGTGTGTGTGTGTGTGTGTGTGTGTGTGTGTGTCGAGTCAATAGCGAGTCATCGCTAGTCGCGTGTCACGCGGTCGTTCGTATCACGCGGTCGTTTGTGTCCCGTGCACGGTTTCTATTTTGTCGTGTGTCTCGTGCACGCTTTCTATTTTGTCGTGTGTGGTGTGGAAAACTGAACGAGAATGAATCAACTATGAATGAAGTGAGTGCAAATATGAAACCCTAATTGGGTTGTACCCCCTATGGGATACCCCACTATAGCCTACACAAATAAGTAAGCTATGATGTTCTGACACACCCCCATAGGCAAAGTGGGGGAGAACAAGGGGTCACAAGACCAGTCAAGCAAAGCAAAGCAAAGCTCAGGGTGGATCACAAAGTCACCACACATTCCGAGCGCAAGGTCAAGGGCCACAAGGCCAGTTCGCATGCAAGATCATATATAGAGATATACAAGAGTCAAGCAAGCAAGAGCAAGAGTATATATAGGTCAAGGTACAAGCAAGGTCAAGAAGTGAGCAAGTGAGGCAAGACAGGCACAAGACCCAGCTGCGTGCAGCAACGCTGATGATCACAAGGCGCAAGTGCCTTGGTGAAGACATCAGCAGTGTTGGCCTCAGAGGCCACGTACGCAAGTTGCAACTGTCCACGCTGCTACAGCTCACGAGCAAGAAAGTAGCGGAGAGCAATGTGCTTTGTCCTGTGCTCCAATCGCTGCTCTCGACACAAGGCCAGCATGGCCTTGTTGTCTACGTACAGGACTGGAGGAGAACGAGGCGGCTCTCCAAGGTCGGTCAGCAGGTAGGTGAGCCAGCGAAGCTCCTGAGCAGCCATAGCCCCGGCGTAGATCTCAGCCTCACAACTGGAGCCGAGAACAGAAGACGAGCGAGTAGCCCGCCACGAGAAAGAGCCGGAACCAAGGCCGAAGGTGTAACCCTGTGACGACCGCTGCGTAGCCTGGTCGTTAGCCCAAGAAGCGTCCGCGTGCCCAGTGAGGACCACTGGACTGCGCCCTCCAAGCACTAGCCCCATGCCCGACGTACTGCACACGTAGCGCAACACCCTCTTTGCTGCAGCCATGTGCTCTGGTCCGTGTCTCCCAAGAGCAGCATAGCGTGCGAGAATGCTAAGAGGGTATGCAAGGTCAGGTCGTGTGCAGGTCATCAGGTACATGAGGCAGCCAACAAGCTCTGCATACGGGCCAGTCGACTCTACGGACTCATCCGAAGGCAGAGCTGAGAGCGAGTGGCGAGTAGGCAGAGGAGTGGCCTAAGGCGAGGAGTACGTGAAGCCGAAGCGCTGAAGGACCTGCTGCACCATGTGTGACTGAGTCAGGGTGTTGGTGCGGCGTGCTCTGTCCCGGGTGATCTGCAAGCCAAGGTAGCTGCGCAGTTCACCCAGGTCAGTGCACGTGTGTCTCTTTTGCAGCTCGGACTTCACGTAAGCGAGTCCAGCAGTGTCCGCTGTGGCAAAGACCAAGTCGTCGACGTACACGAGGATGTAGAACGGCGGCAGAGAGGTGTCGGTACGCAGAAACAGCGACGGGTCGGCAGTAGAAGGAGCAAACCCAAGTGCCGCAAGCGTAGTCCTCAGTGTGTCGTGCCACTCACGTGGCGCCTGGCGGAGACCGTAGACTGGACGCCGGAGACTCCACTGGGTACCAGGAGGGAAAGACCCAGTGAAGCCAGGTGGGCGACGCAGCCAGATCTCCTCGTGCAGGCTGCCCTGCAAGAAAGCTGTGCTGAAGTCGAGAGAGTGCAGCTCGTAGTCACGGTGAGCAGCAACGTACAGCAGTACCCGAAGAGTGGTCATCTTCGGGGTGGGGGAGAAGGTCTGAAAGTAGTCAACCCCCTGCCGCTGACTGAAGCCACGAGCCACGTAACGCGCCTTGAAGACAGGCGGAGAACCCGGCGGCCGCTTCACCCTGAAAATCCACATGCCACTGACGATGTTCGCCCCAGGAGGGGGAACAGCGTCGACGTAGGTGCCTGTGGACTTCCAGGAAGCCATCTCTGCATCCATAGCTGCCTGCCACTGACAGGAGTAGGGACCCTCTATCGCCTCCGCGTAAGAGCGCGGAGTCGGGATGTCTAGTGCATCCGGGTCTCCCTCAGGGGCTAGCAGTACAGACGCGAGATGAGGTGAAGCGGCGGCCAGACACTGGAACTCCTCCTGCCTGTCCTCAAGGACGTCCGTGCCAAGGGCACACTCACCCCCGACGGACGGAGGACAGGCAGACTCAGACTCAGCGACAAGACTAGCAGCGTAGTCTAGACGACAGCGCGCAGCAAAGTCGACGAGCTCAGTGACAAGGGCAGACGCAGCAGAAGACTCGAAAGAAGGGTCAGTGACAGCAGTAGCAAGAAGACGCGTGACAGTAGGACTGGCAGCACGAAGAGAGTCCGACTCCGGGTCGGCAAGAGCAGGAAGAGAGGAAGCAGGAGGAGAAGGCAAAGGGGCACGCAGAGGAGCAGTAGACGGACGCAGAGACATCCGGTGCGTGCCAGGGACAGGAGGCGGACGCTGACGCGAACCACGACCACTAGAGCGCGCAGTACGAACAGGCGACGCAGGACGAGACGCAGGCTCACGACGCTCAGTAAGACCTCTAGTCGGACCAGCGTAGGGAGAAGGAGCAGGCAAAGGTGAGGCAGGCTGTAGCTGTGACTGTGACGAGACAGGCTGTGGACCCTCTAAGGGAGGAGGAGGAGGACCAGGAGAAGGTGTAAGACCAAGAACCTGCTGCAGGAGCGGAACGAAGTACGGCCGGGGCCGCGCGGCGACGCCAGAAACAGCAGGGACTGCACCAGTACCCCAAGCAGGAGTACCTGCTCCAGCAGCACCTCCAGTAGCTCCAGAACCTCCAGCAGCACCACCAGGAGCACCACCAGTCGGACCTCCAGCGGCAGTCTCAGCGTCAACACCCTCAGCAGCACCAGCTCCAGGAGAACCCTCAGACCCAGCAGCTCCAGCACCCACAGTACGAGCACCGCCGGGACGCTCGGCAGCAGTACCCTCTGCAGCCGAAGAACCTCCAGCACCAGCAGCATGCCTCCAGCGCCTGGCAAACCACTCACGTAGCTCCTGAGGGGAGAGTGGCTCTCGGCGAGACGAAGCACCTCCAGGCGGAGCACCCCCAGGCTCACCACCCCCAGGCTCAGCACCCCCAGGCTCAGTACCCCCAGGCTCAGCACCCCCAGGCTCAGCACCTCCAGGCTCAGCACCCCCAGGCTCAGCACCCCCAGGCTCAGCACCCGCAGGCGTAGCACCTCCAGTCTCAGCACCCCCAGGCTCAGCTCCCGCAGCAGCACCAGAGTCACCAGTGACCTCGACAGGCTCGACCGCGTCTACCTGGGACACATCTGAAGGGGCAGGACCCTGAGGGGGGAGGGGGTCTACCGGGGGGGGACCTGGTACCAAGAAGAGCGGGGGCGGGGGGAGGGACGGAGTGCGGTAGGGGAAGAGGCGGTAGTAGGGTACCGACTCGTCGAACGTGACGTCCTGGGAGGACAGAACACGTCGAGAGGTGGGGTGGTGGAACTGCCACCCAGGGGCGTCGGGGGGGAACCCCAGGAAGACGCAGGGAGTAGCGCGAGGGGACAGCTTGTCCGCAGACAAGTCGCGGACAAACGCCCGAGATCCCCAGACCCGGAACGCCGACGCATCGCCAACCTTCCCCGTCCATAGCAGCGCTGGGGAGGTCTCCGGCCCGGAGACCCTGGGGTGGAGGTTGATCTGATGCGCTGCGTACCTGACCGCAAACGGCCACAGAAAATGGGGGGCAGCCGCATGCATCATGGACGTACGAGCGACGTCCATGACCATGCCAATGCGGCGCTCTGCAATCCCATTTTGCTGCGGGGAGTCCGGAAGCGTGAAGGTCTGGCGGATGCCTCGCGCACGACAGTAGGCACGCAGAAGGCCAGATGAGAACTCTCCGCCTCTGTCCGAGTGCAGACGCAACACAGGAAAGTCCGAGCCAAAGCTCTGCTTGAGCTGGAGACGAGCTGCGCGGATCCAGTCGATCAGCACCTCAGTGACATCACCCTTGCTGCGCAAGGGGAAGACTGTGGTGTAACGCGAGTAGTCGTCAACCACCAGCAGGAAGTAGCGCTCGTGACCGAGTCCACGGACGCGGGCAGGGCCCCACATGTCTATGTGAAGCGTCTGCAACGGAGCCTCTGTCGGAGGAAACTGGGAGGAGTGAGGGGCAGCACGCTGGCGCCCCTCGACACAGGGGACACAGGCAGGGCCAGGGCCCTGAGGAAGGGGAGGTAGAGACCGGGGGAGACCAGACACAAGAAGACGGGAGGCCATGCCTCTGAGCCGAAGCAGAGAGGGGTGGCCAAGACGGTGGTGCCAGAGGAGGGTCTCGTGAGACAGACGGCGACACGAACAGGGGGCAGACTCAGGACCAGACCTGGACGCTGCAGCAAACACCTGACCAGACGAAGGGACTCTACCAGACTCAGCACCTGGAGGAGAAGCAGTGGTCAGTGTGTACAGGCTCGACCCTGGCTGACGTGTAAACGTAGCCAGGTGACGACCCGTGCTAGCCTCCGTACAGTGCGTCACTCGCTGACTAGCAGGGGTGAACTGGTGGACTCCCACATCCTGTAGGTCAGCACCACTCACCAAGTTCGTAGAGAACGAGGGGAGGTAGAGACCAGACAGGGTGCCAGAGGGAGCCGCCGGACACGGGAGGACCGTGGAGAAGCGAGCCAGGACAGGACCCCTAGAGGGGTCAGCCAGGGAAACCGCAACCGGCCGACTAAGCGGCGTAAGTGTGGTGCGGTCCCGAAAGAAAGAGCGAGACGCTCCAGAGTCAAGAGTGAAGGTGTGGGAGGCCGAAGCCGACGCAGTACCTGAGAGCGCAGTCTCACGAGCACCTGAGAGCACAGACGCACTGGCACCTAGAGCAGAAGCCTCACCGGCACCTGGAGCAGCAGTACCAATGCCCGGGTCGGGCGGGAAACACCGGTAACAGTCACCCTCCTCACTAATGGTCAGAGCATACATGGCAACAAGGATAGCATCAAAATCAAGATCAAAGATAGCTACACCAGCCCTAGACAGCTCTCCCCAGCGGGGGATCTCCGCGGTCTCCGGGAACTGCTGACGCCAAGCGTCCGTCAGGCGGCCAAAGCAGCGCTGGGCGGAGTGGGCACCCCCACACTGCTCTCCAGTGCGGTCGCCAGTGCGGAGAACGTAGGTGCAGGGACCAAAACCCCCACCGCGCTGACGCTGCGTGTACCACTCACGGAGCTGCTGAGGGGTGGGGACGTCGCGAGAACGCTGCTGCTGCTGCTGCTGCTGCTGCTGGCGCTGACCGCCACCAGTGCCGCTCCGCTGCGAAGCTCCACTCCGACCACCTCCACCTCCGCCACCCCCGCCTCCGCCTCCACCGCCCCCGCTTCCACCTCCACCGCCGCCACCTCCGCCACCTCCGCTACCACCGCCACCGCCGCCGCCACTCCCGCCTCCACTGCCGCCACTAGCACCCCCACCCCCGCTACCACCTCCACCGCCACCCCCACTCCCTCCGCCGCCTCCACCTCCACCGCCACCGCCCCCACTGGCCCCACCCGCTCCCTTGCCCCCCTTGCCCTTGCCAGAGCGGCGTCTCCCGCTAGGGGCAGACGCCGCACCGACCGACTCAAGACCAACGAGGTCGGCCGCAGCGGCAGAGGCGACAGAGGGCAGGAGAGGGGAAGGAGAACACCCCTCAAAGATGGGGGCGCGGGGGTCACCTTGAGAGGCTCCTACAGCAACTATGCTCTTCTCTGCTGCAAGGAGGGCCTTCTCGAGGCTGTCGACTGTGAGGGTGGTGGGACAGACCGCGAGGAAGTGGTCCCGGACTACACGAAGGGAGTCAGGGAGGCGAGTGACTAAGAAGTAGAGAGTGATGTACATGGGGGGGGGGTTCTTGGCGCAGAAGTCAGCAGGAAGCGCAGCGCGGTAGCGAGTGTCACTAGTGCGGAGGTGCGTGATGAGATCAGCGACAGTGGGAAAGGCGGCAAGGTCAAGGAAGAGGAAGGGGAGCATGAGGCGGCTCAGTGCAGCAGTGGCAGGGGAGGAGTAGCGCGCAACTACAGCGTCGTACAAGGTCTGAGCACTCTTGTACTGGCTAAAGTGCGCGCGCTCAGCGGTAGGCAGGTGGCGACGCACAGCAAGACGTGCAGCAGCATCGCGCGTGGCCCACTGAGAGCGAACAGTGGCGTCAGCATCAGCAGCAGGGGCAGGGACGGCGCCAGAGGTGAGGTCAAAGAGAGACAGACCGTCGGCCCTGTCGCACTGTAAAAACAGCTGCAGGTCGTCGAGCCAGACCTCAAAGTCAATGGCTCGACCCTTAGCGTCAAAAGCGAGGACACTGGGTGTAGCCATGACGACGACAGTGGAGCAGTGCAAGCAGTAGGGGAAGGGTACGCAGTGACAGCAGTGCAGTGCTCACTGGGCAGGGCAGGTCGGGCTGCTCGGGAGGAAGGTCGCCTGGCGAAACGGCCGCTAGGCTGCTGGGCGGCTCGGCTCCCGGGCGGCTCGGCTGCTGCTGGGCGGCTCGGCTGCTGCTGGGCGGCTTGGAGGCTCCTGGGCGGCTCAGCGGCTCCGGGCGGCGCGGCTGCTGCTGGGCGGCTCGGCGGCTCCGGGCGGCTCGGCTGCTGCTGGGCGGCTCGGCTGCTGCTGGGCGGCTCGGCGGCTCCTGGGCGGCTCGGCTGCTTCGGGCGGCTCGGCTGCTGCAGTCGGGCGGCGCGAGAGCAAGGGGCGGCGGGGCCGTTAGTGCTGGGGCGGCGGGGCCGCGAGACCAGGGGCGGCGTGGCCGCGTAACAGGGGCGGCGGGGCCGGGAGCGCTGGGGCGGCGGGGCCGCGAGATCAGGGGCGGCGGGGCCGTGAGCGCTGGGGCGGCGGGGCCGTGAGATCAGGGACGGCGGGGCCGCGGGCGCTGGGGCGGCGGGGCCGCGTATCAGGGGCGGCGGGGCTGCGTAACAGGGGCGGCGGGGCCGGGAGCGCTGGGGCGGCGGGGCCGCGAGATCAGGGGCGGCGGGGCCGTGAGCGCTGGGGCGGCGGGGCCGTGAGATCAGGGACGGCGGGGCCGCGGGCGCTGGGGCGGCGGGGCCGCGTATCAGGGGCGGCGGGGCCAGGAGCGTTGGGGCGGCGGGGCCGCGAGATCAGGGACGGCGGGGGCCGCGAGTGCTTGGGCGGCGGGGCCGCGTATCAGGGGCGGCGGGGCCGGGAGCGCTCGGGCGGCGGGGCCGCGAGATCAGGGACGGCGGGGGCCGCGAGTGCTTGGGCGGCGGGGCCGCGAGAGAAGAGGCGGCGGGGCCGCGTTCACTGGGTGGCGGGGCCGCGAGGGTAAAGCCGGCCGCTAGGGCGGCTCGGGGAAGGAGTGGCCCGAGGCGCGACTCGGGATGAGTGCGCTTCGGGCAGGAAAAAAAAGATTTCGAGTGGTGGGCCCTAGGCACAGTTCCCACAGGGGAACCTGCTCTATACCATGTGGAAAATTGAACGAGAATGAATCAACTATGAATGAAGTGAGTACAAATATGAAACCCTAATTGGGTTGTACCCCCTATGGGATACCCCACTATAGCCTACACAAATAAGTAAGCTATGATGTTGTGACATGTGGAACGTTCGGCGTGTCGCAGGTGTGTGCAGAAGACCCATAAAGAACTCAAGGATGAGTTTGTGATGATGAATCAAGAGCTTAAGATTGAAGAGATCGCGAAGCCCGCGAAAATGGTACACTTTAAGATATTGGGAACAGTTAGAGTACTTTGTGTAGTGTAACATCTCTCTTGGTCTAGGTTTTTGTAAAAGATAGTTTCAAGATCCTTTGTGGTTCGGGACAGTGTGGCACTGTTCCACATCACTGTACCTCGGCTCTTAAGGTTTGTAGAGGCTGGAAGTCATTTTCAACACGTAACTCTTCCTAATTTGTGTTATAAGACTAAAGTTGCTGCCATACTGACGTTCGTCAATCCAATGATGCGTTGTGAATTCTTCGTGAAATCGTGCAATCTAAATTTCCTATTGTAGGAGACATTAAGACGCTCCAGATCCAATTCAAACCAGGTCATTTGAAGCCGTGACCAAAACGCTATGAACGGTTAAAGCCACTGTGCAGAAATCCGACAGTGCACTCTATCTTTTGTTTTAGACACATTCAAGCCTACAGTGACTACAACAATGATCTCACGATCTCACGATCTGACTGCGCTTGTCCTCCTACATGAGAGGACAGCAGTCTTGAAGCACGATCTTGCACACAAGCTCGCCAGACCCCTCCCTCCCTGGAGCCTCTTTCAGATCGAACTGCTGCTGGGAGAGGATGCAGATAGAAAACGGTTTTTGGGGAATCTGAAAAACTTCTTGAAAGCACATAGGCTCACTGAGTTCTGCTGCTTGAGCTGTTCCAGAGAGAGGCAGTAGACGGGAAGACGTCTGAGCACTTGACATTGGGTGAGACAACGGTGTAGGTGCCGCTGGTGCTGCAGGGCGCACAGGAGAAGGTGCCATTGACGGTAGTGCCCTGCCTGAAGCCCGGTGGACACACACACGAGTACGACCCCGCCTCGTCGTTCACACACGTGCCCACCGCACACGGGTTGCGGATTTGCGCTGCACAGGCGTCCACTGGAGGAGGAGACGGAGAGCACGAACGAGTGCGCATGAGGGATAGAGGGATTAAGAGAAACAAGGGGACCAAGAGGGCAGGGAAAGAGGAGGGAAACGGAGGTGGGAGTGTGTTGTGTGGGAAAGGCATGAACGCATGGGCGAAGAGGGAGGATAGAAACAAATGCAGCAATGTGGATGTGTGTGAGAGAAGCACAGAAACAGATGCCCAGAAGCAATCCCGATGCGCCCAGTCTAGACTACCATATATGCAGGTGCGGAGCAGGAGGCATGCGTACCATAATCACAGGTGCACGAGCCATCGGTGTTGGTGGCCTCAATGAATCGACCGTCAGATGCCGTGTTGCAGGCGTAGCGGTTGGACCTGCGGTCAGCAGTAACCGTGCACGTGAAGTTGCCACACGGATTCAGCAC